ACCAGCCTTCTGGTTAGCAGTCAAGTGCCTTAGGCACTATGCTATCTTTCTTTTTAACTGAAAAATTAGAATATTCCGAATATGTCATTGTATCTCAGCCAGGAAAATCTCTATCATTCTGTTCAGAAACAGGCCAAAAAGACATAGATGAGACTGGGCTGGTCCATTTTAAGAATATGATTATTCTACCAGATATACATATATTTTTTGAAAAGTCATCATTAGAGCAGTCTGTTACCATAGAGAAATTAGCTTAAGTGATCTTCCAGGATTTCTTTTCCCATTTCCAGTCTTTCTGACATGTAAAATAAACCTGTCCCAGTAAATCTGACAAGGTTTTCCAAATAAATATATTGAAGAGGCTTAGTTGGGTAAAGTACAGCAAAAAAGAGAGACAAATTACATTTTCTAAAATTTTTAAAATAAATTGATCTGAAAAGCAGAACAACATATACCATGAGGACCAGTGCAAGTTGAAACCCTGTTTTATCTGGGTCACAAATAGGATATTTATTTTGCTAGCTGTACAAAGTGACCTAGGGGTCCCTACTCTCCTGATAGTTATTGACACTGATAAGGCATGTTGATTATGGGAATTAGGTGGCCCTGGTGAGAGGGTGTTGCTAGAACCTGCAGGATTCAGGGAAGACTCCAGTTAAACCAGTAATGGTATCTGAGGAGCACACAGAACCAATAATGGCCACCATGTGAAAGGCTGAAAAAACATAGTTTTCCTTTTGAATAACAAAAATAAATGTTTAGATGATTATCTGCAAGGCTTAAGGAAGAAGATCAAAGATAACTTAGGTCAAACCTTCGTATCAATTTCCAAAATCTGTATGGCATAATCTATGGAGAAGCTGTAATGCAGTCAGGCTTTTCTTATTCAGGTCTAAGAATTCATGTTAAACCAGTTGCCCATTTGAACTGACTCATGGCAACCCCATGTGTTTCTGAGTAGAAGTGTTCTCTGTAGGGTGTTCAGTGTCAGATTTTTCACAAATAGGTCACCAGGCCTGCCTTCTGAGGCATCTCTGGGTAGACTCAAACCTCCAACCTTTCTGTTAGTAGGGAGCGTTTTAATCGTTTGCACCAGCCAGGGACTTTTAGCATTCAAATTACTTTCTCCCGAAGTTCAGGATACATGAGATTCTTATTGCAAAAGTCACAAAATCCATTTGTTATTGTGTTTGAATAAAAACCAAAAACTCATGCTGTCGAGTTGTCTTGACTCATAGCAACCCCTCCTCGGGTTTCTGAGGTGGTATCTCTACAGAAGTAGATTGCCCAACCTTCCTTCTGAGGAGTCGCTGGTGGGTTTGAACTGCCAGCCTTCTGGTTAGCAGTCAAATGCCTTAGGCACTATGCCACCAGAATTCCCTGTGTTTGAACAGGCAGTAGATAATTCATTTTCAAGCTCTAGATTTTGTGATTCTTTTCATGGAAAAACCCAAATTCCTTCCTTCAAGAGCTTAGCTTCACAAGACGGTCTCAATCTGAGAAAACAAAAAATGAGTATCCCATGCAAAAAACCAAACTCACTGCCATCGAGTTGATTCCTACTCACAGCGATCTCCACTGGGTTTCTAAGGTGGTAAATCCTTATGGAAGCAGACTGCCCCATCATTCTTCTGTGCAGCAGCTGGTGAGTTCGAACCACCAACTTCTGGGTTAGTAGCCAAATGCCTTAACCTCTACACCACCAGAGCTATCCCATGGGGAGGTGTAATCTCCTGGAGAAAGAGAACACTCATCCACTTTCTCCAGCAGTTACAGAACTGCAATGCATTTATTATTAATGGCATGAGTTTAGATGATCAGAAAGAGGAAGCTATGTTCTACACATTTTAATGTTTGCTTTCTATTTTATCCTATTACATTCTTAATTTTCTTTCTATGCTTGAGATGATGAGGATGTCCTGAGGTTGACTGCAGCACTGTTAAGAGGCCTACTTCAAGTTTGGCAATGGACTTGCTAGGTTATGAAGTGCATGCAACTTGCTGAGGAACAAGAAAGAGCACGCTCACAAACGACTGCAGCCACTAAAACTGCCCATTGCATACAGTTTATTTCACTAGACTGCAATTGTATACAAAGTATGTAGGGGTTTCCTGATAGCACACATAGACTTTACTTTCTGTACTGCTGAAGAACCAATTTGTTTTTACATTATATCATAATATCCTATCATTAAAACATTATTCAGTGAATTTTTTTTCCCCAACTACATATAAACAGAGATTTACCACATACACGGTGCAAGAATGTCTTTATAACATATTGGAATCACAAAATGTGAATCTAAAATACACCACTGTAATTAGAACACTACTTTAAAATTACAATGCCCCATGTTATAGTAGCCAGATTTGATTAATCCCTGTATAAATCACAGTCTGGTGGAGAACTTCTTAGATAACCAGCAGCAGCTTTTAACTATGATTTCAAAAGAAATCTTTAATTAACAATCAAAATTTCACGTCACAAACGTCTTTCCTTATGTGTTCAGTATTCTCAGGATCAAAATGGGATGTATTTTTAATTTATAAGATTTCTAAAGCAAGGAGAATACAACCAACTTTTCCTTAGCTAAAAGGCTTGGGTTGTAATATCAGGTTTCGTAGAAACCTAAGGAAAGCATTGTACGGGGAGTGGAAATGTGTTACAGAGAAACATAAAAATCGCTTTAAACACTTCTTGGACTTCTCTGCCCCTCCCGACTACTTCTGTCAAACACAGAGAAAGAATACTGCGTTGCAAATAAGGACGCTGTTTCCATGTTCTAAAGGAAGTGTATGTAAACAAGCCAGAGACAAAGAGTTCTTCATTTTTTTTCGCATTTTGTGAAGTGGGGCAGGTGGATTCTATCAGTTAAATAAAAAAAGAGGGTTCCTTAACCAAAGAACCACTTCATCGCGCACAAAATAGCTAGGGATGATTGCTGGAAATTTCTCATGTGTTTTTCTTTCCCCCAAAAGTTTGAGAATGTTTGAAAGTTCAATAAATAGTAGAAAAATAATCCTTTACTTAGAAATTTTGAGATGCATCATTTAGAGCTCAGCATTGAGTTCCATACAGCCATGTGGTCTCTAGGTACCGCTCAGAAACAAAGTGAAATCTTCAAAGCACACGCTTACATCAGGATATGCCACATTGCCAGCCTCCGGTCGCCAGCTCTTCCTCTCTTCCAGTTAAGGAGAGCCAAATGTTTCTGGCTCTTCGGAACATTCCTCTGGCTCAGCTTAACGAAGGTTCTCAATGTTTCATTTCAAGGTTTCATCTCTATGTTTGGAGGTTGGCCTCTTTTCCATTCCATTCGTATTATGGCAGGTTCATTAATCAGGCTTATTTTCCCTCCATTTCAGAACCAGCCTCACATTTTCACAAACGTGATTTTGGTGGTGTTCTGCTCGTTTTTAAACATAGGAACAGGCAGGAAATGAGTTAAACCACTCTGGACAAAGCATACACACACAAGGGGCCTCTTGCTGTGGGTTTCTTGCTGGCTCATGTTCTCTGTTGAACACACTCTATCCTCCCAGACCCTGTCTTCTCACGGAGGTTAGGAGATCGTTAGCATTCTGCGTCGACTGTATGTACGGTCACGGCCGCCTGTAAGTGATGGCTGTGATGAAGGGTGGGGTGGTGTAACCGGTAGTGGTGGAACTTGTGACTTAGTAGGGCAGCAGTCTGAGGTGGGGTATCCAGATCCAAGTCCTCGTCATGGTTCCCCACATCAACCCCTGCTGACAAGGGGTCATTGTTGCATGGTGGATTTTCACTATCTTCCTGTGGGCTCATGGTGCTGTAACCTAGAACATGAACAAAACAAGCAGCTGAGAGCTTCAACACACATGAATAATTCACTTAAAATACATAGATTGCAGTAGGAGGTATGTCTGTCTTGGTGCCATACAGAGGCAAATATTTGCAGACTGTCAGCATACTGAAAATGACTCATTTTTAGAGATTAAATGTTTCTCTTTCAAAAAAAAAAAATCACACAAATACACATTCATCTTAGACAATGAGACCATATGGATAAGAAAAATAAACAACTACCCCTTCCCTAAATCAGCAAAATGAAAACCCAAATCACTCCCCATCCTCTCATGTAGAGGTAAACCACTGTTGACATTTGGGAACTATTTCCTTTCATTTCTCCCTAGGATAAGATTATTTTACTTGAAAGAGGAAAAAAGAGTACTTTTGAGAAAATGATCCTAATAGGACTCTGAACAGTGGGGGGAAGCCGGGCTTCAAAGGACTTGAGTGTGACGCCATAGTAAGAACAAAAGCAACTGCCACCCTTACCTGTACCTGCAGCAGAGCAGGCAACTCCTGTCTATCAATGAGGCATGTGCTTCTGTGTGCATTTTATAGATGAGTGAGGGTGATGATGAACAGAGGCTAGGGAACATCCCCAAAGTTCCAGTACCTAATACAACCCTAACTCCACACATATATCTGTAACACCCACAGCAACTGAGAGAGGAATCAACCATTCTCTGTATAAGCTGGCTCCCTGTATTTAAAGATTAATTTCTTTTAGTATTCAAAGTAATACGTGTTTCAAAAGAAAATGCCCTTGTTGATCAAAGGATTCCATCCTAAGAATCTTGGCATGTTTTTAAATATTGCAAAAATCCCCTTTAAAATTTTTGAGAAGTGACAGCTCATTAATATTTCTGCTGCATCTACAGTTAGCATCAATCAGCACTCACCCATGGGTAGTGCTAGTCACATTTGTGGCTGCAAAATTGATGTGCCTGCACACAGCCAAGCAGGAATAGCTCTGGTGGTTGAAAATGTATGCTCTCTGCAAAAATGAAGAAGGTAATTCTCTGTCTTCAATGAGGCATTTCTCAAACAATGGGATTATTTAACAGTCCAATTCAACAAATATTTATTGGGCACCTACTATGTATGAGACAGTGCTGGGTAATGCAGTAGACACCTGGATGAAAATACAGTTCCTGTACAAGGAGCTCAAAAGCTAGCGTTTGAGAAATAAAACAAGTACAAGTAAAGCTCAATTCAATTATTCATTTACTGAAGGCCACTACGGGGTTGGGGGAAAGGAAAACTATGAACCATGAATAAGAGGCGTTTCCTTCCCTTAAGGATTTCACAACAGAATGAGACAGATGTTCATGAAGCTAAACTTACTCTAACGCAGACAATGGAAATGCTATGTTGTCGCTGTTAGTTGCTGTTGAGTCAGGCTTGACTCATGGTGATCCCGTGCGCAAGGGGATTGGACTGTTGTGATCTATACTGCTTTCACTGGCTGAATTTGGGAAGTAGATTGCCAGATCTTTCTTCTTAGTCTACCTTAGTCTGGAAACCCCACTGAAACCTTCCCAGTATCACAGCAACACACATGCCTCTGCTGATGGACAAGTGGTGGCTTTGCTGATGTTCACTGACTGGGAATTGAATCTGGGTCCCCCACATGGAGGATGAGAATTCTTCCACTGAACCACTGCTGGCCCTCTGTAAATGCTGTTACTGAAATCCAGAGGAGGGAATAACTAATTCTGGCAAAGTGGTATGAGAAAGTTTCAGACTTTAGTTGGGTTTCGATGGATGAGTAGGAGTTTGGTAAGTAGATAGAAGCAAGGGAAGAGAATGAACAGAGCCATAGTCATGGAAACATAAGGCCATCCCTGAACCATGTGGCTATGATGAGTGCTAGCAGGTAGCTGGAGGAAAAGACAAGGAGAAGGTAGAAAGGTAATTTGAAGTCAGATTATAAAGACCATGCCAAGAGAGTAGAAAATGGAAAAACATTACAAGGTTTTTAGCAGCACCCCCCAAAATGGCATTGATCATATCTGTGCTTTAAAAGGATTGGTGGCAATTGGAGAATGAACGGAAGGAAGAGGGAAGGGGCATTTAGAGGTTATTGTAGTAATAGCCCAGATGAAGGATGATGAAGTAAAGCTAGACTGGGACTGAACAGATCGAGGTGGTTACAGGTGACTACAACTTCAAGTCAGGATGACTAGAGAAGGAGACTGAGACCCTGAGTCTCAAGGAAGAAAATGAATGTTATTTTTGCATACACTGATTCAGGGAGTCTGTAGGCCACATATGTGGAAATGTCTAGCCAGAAACTCAGGATCATAGTCCCAAAAAATCCAGTGAAGAAGGGGAAGATTTCAATGGTGATGTGTCTATCATTACCAAGTGCCTTCTTGGTGCTAGGAGCTAGGTTAAGGACTAAACAGAAAAAGAGGTAAGCCCCCAGCTCCCAAGAAGCCCACAGTCAAGAACGGAAAATGTACATGTTCTAAAACAGAGGAACAACAAAAAGGAAGGAATACTGAAGCCAGTTAACTTACTTGGGAGATTAGAGGAGGTGACACTCAAGGTGCTTCTAATGGTAAAGAAGGGGGTCATTAAGTAAAGAAAGGGGTGGAAAGGTATTATAGGCAGGGGCTTAGCTGAAGAGTTGCTATCATGTCAATTCCAACTCATGGAGACCCCATGTGTGTCAGAGTAGAATTGTATTCCATAAAGTTTTCAATGGCTGATTTTTTTTTTTTTGAAGTTGATCACCAGGACTTTCTTCTGAGGCACCTCTGAGTAGACTTGAACCTCCAACCTTAGGGTTGGCAGGCAAGTATGTTAACTGCATACCCAGGGACAGGCGGAGGCAAGCACAACAAAAGTATGGTAGCTTGAAAGGATCTGGTGGATTCTGGGAAAGATTAGAAACTCAGTGTGTGTCTGTGTGTGTGGGGGGTGGTGGTGGAAGGAGAGGGAGATGAGGAGGCTGGAAAGGAAAGCTAAGATCAGACAGAGAAGACTGGTGGAAGCCAGAAGTTTGGATTTAGTCATGAGCAACAGGGTACAGTGATGACAGAAGTTGTGCTTTCATGTGATCCACTGGGATAGTGAGGAGGCTGGACTGAAGGAAAGAAGGATCAGAGGCTCAGTGGACAGGAGGATGACATGTGGCCCTGAAGAGACAGAGAGAACCTGAAGTAGGGCAGAAGCATTGCTTGGAAATAAGCAAACAGCTGGTGTCTTCAAGAGAACTTTCAAGTACAGAGTAGACTGAACTTGGTGGCCAAATGGATATGACTAGTAAAGATGCCAGGGGAGTTGTCATCCTTGGATAAGGTCATGGTTTCTAAATTCAAAGGCTGGGGAAATAGATGCTATTCACAAAATATATAGAGTAGGAGCCAGGGTAAGTTTCTCAACTGCAGCAGCACAGAGTCTGGTACTTAAGATTGGCTGCTAGGCCCTGGAACATCAGTTATAGAGTGTTGTGTGCTAAAACCATCTTGTGCCTCTATTTTTTACACTCATCGATGTGGTTAGGTTCCAAAGACCGGGCTGTTATGTGAAAATTGGCTGGATGTGAAGGATGACCATATCAGACCACAAAGTAGACAAAGACCCCATCATTACAGACAGGTCACACCACTGAGAACTATGGTTCAGCCAAGTTGACACATAACCTAACCATTACAGCCAGTGTTACTCTTGCCTTCCTTACTAACAGATGGATGCCTTTATTGTGCACAATAGTCAGATAGTAGGTTTTTCACTCTGGTTATAAATAACCAATGTCTCATGAGATAGCTGATAAGTGAGGAGTACGTGAACATGTAAAGGATTACAGTCCATTTTAGCAACACGTGTTGGTTATTTCTGGCCAAATTTTAGTGCTTTCCTGCCTTCACTTTGTCTCCAAATACTTCCTGTGTGGCTTCCCGACTCTCTCTACAAGCACCCACAATAACTGATAATTCACTTTAACATCCATGATGTTAAACTCATGGCGCTCCTTCTGTCTGCCTCCCTCCCCACCTCCTTCATCCCGCTATTGTGCTTCATGCTTCAGTCTGAATGCCATCTTCAAGAAGCCTTCCCAACCAACCTGCTCCCGCCCACCTCCAGCCCTGTCAACCCACATGGAGTCTGTGCTCCTTCTGTGAGCTAGCAAGGCATCCTGTGCACATCTCTCACTTAAGAGCTTATCACATTATAATAAAATATCGGTCTGTCTTATCCACTAGCAAATTCTTTCTTGGAGTACAGGGGGTTATTTATCATTATACTTCCAGAATTTAACAGATTTTAATACAAACCAGGCACTTAGAAAAAAAAAAATCATACTATAGTCCCAAAGCAACTGCATCAATGAATTTTTTTTTTTTTTTTTTTACATCATCTACGATTCTGTCTAGTTTAATATTCATCAGTCTCATCAAATGAAGGCATTCTAGGATTCACTGGGCTCTGCTGAGGGGTTCTGATACAGCATTTAGGCCTATCTATACCTGTCTGGTCACAGGGCCTGGGGTTCATATCAAGGGTATGGTGATGGTCTGGCTGTCACTGAGGCAACTAGGTGGCATCCCCATTTCTCCTGTTACTTCTTTCTAATGAGCACCATAGCAGACACCCTTCTCAAATAAAACCCTTACAGTGGGGCCAGTCTGTAACTGCTCTGTTATTTAGACTTCTTATCTCAATAATGAAGGAAAATGTGTGTGTTGGGGAAGATACAGTAGCAAGTTCTGGAGAAGCAGGAGAAAGCCAAATACATTCTCTCACTCAACAAATTAACAGTGTTTTTTCAGTGCCAAGCAATTCAGCTGAGTACTGGGAACACAGTGGTGAATAAGACAGACACAGGCTACTTATGGAAACTGTTGAATTGTCAAATGTATTGTTATACATATATATTTACCAAAAACAAACAAACTCACTTCCGTCAAGTCGTATCCGACTCATAGCGACCCCTCCTTGGGTTTCCGAGATGGTATCACTATGGAAGTAGATTTCCCAA